GAATATAAGCCTCTAGGTCTATTAGGAGATTTTGCATTCAGTCTGCAGCCTGGCCATTATGTGCTGCAAAGAAATCATTCTGATTGAACAGCTCATTTTAATGACTGTGAACCCAATATTTTTCATTAATTTTTCCGGGTTAAATAATGCTTTGAAGTGATTTTTTCTGATTGGTTTCTGTTCCACGAGTGGATTTCTGTCTGAAGAGGCTGTGTTCTTAGGTGTCACAAATTTGAAACCAAACCTCATCTGTGCCAGACTTGTCCCCTTGTTGGGTCTTTCCTGGACCTGGAGGCTGAACCAATGCTTGTGTTGCTTCTCTCACTTTGTCCCTCCCTCCTTTACACTTGCACTGCCCTTTTCTTGACCCTGCTGTCCTTAGAGCCATTTTATTTGCTTTCCCTCCTCCTGTTATGCTTTGGGATGCTCCTCTCTCCTACACAGGGACCCAGCTACCACTGACTGTGGTACCACTTCCATGGCAGGATTTTGTTCTCTGTTCCTCACCACCTGGAAATCTTACACAAATACCTGACTTTTCCTCCTGCTTATGGCTCTTTTGAATCCTTTTTCCTGACAGTTACATTTTTCTAAATGCAATTTTGTAATTGCTGCTTAAAGGACGTTTCAAATTGCAGTTTGTGAAATAGGTTTTATAGAAGAAACCTGTATTATCAGTCCTGCTTAGCTACATGCACTCAATAATCATTCTTTCCTGGGTGTTTTTCAGAGTGCCACCTCCACAGAGAAGGTTGCTTTATATCTGGTGGCTTATTTTCAAATAATATATCCATGCATAAATTGCTGGGAGAAAGATTGATATATGGTGCCTTTCCCTCAGCTGTTCTTCCCCCAGAGGGTGGTTGGGCACTGACCAGGCTCCCCAGGGCAGTGGGCACAGCTCCAAGGCTGCCAGAGCTCCAGGAGGGTTTGGACAATGCCCTCAGGCACATGAGGGCATTCTTGGGGTGTCCTGTGCAAGACCAGTAGTTGGACTTGATGATCCTGATGGGTCCCTTCCATCTCAGCATATTTTATGATTCTGTGATTCCACAGCAGCAAGGCCAGATTAGAGCTTAATCAAAACCTTAATTAAACCATCAGTGCTTGATGATCCATAAACCTGACTTCTCCTGGGCTAATGAGCTGGATGACTCTGGGAAATAAACCATTTTCCCTGCTCTGCCCTCTTTGCTTCTCCGCAGCATCACCAGAACAGCATCTCCCATAAATGTGCTTCTTGTAACGCCTTCTGTCTCACTGCAAGATGCTGGATCTGGGAACTTTGAAGAGACAAAGTAAATTGGGTTGCTAGGAAAGGACTAAAGTGTTGAAATAGCTCTGAATGACAAATGGAGAGCTGGGTGGATGCTGATGCCTGGGAAAGTCAGATTGGTGCTGCTGGCCAGGCTTCTGGGATGGTGCATTTTGTACAGCACAGAAATGTGTATCTCTGGAAGTAGTAGCCTGGTGTGGTAGATAAGCACAGATAGGGTGTCAGGGGACCTACAGTCTTCACTTCTCTGGCACTGTCTTCTATCATTTGCCTTCCTTATTAAGAAATCAAGCTTAGGGCAGAAAATAGTCCTGCTTCATGTTGGTGCAGTGTAATGGGGTCCTGACCTGAGCAGGGGCTCTGGGTGCCACTGGAATACACACACTAATAACAGTGCTGACCTGTTCTGTATCCTATTATCCCAGTATCCAGCTTCTGTTACTAGGACCAATTTATTCCAGGAGACGTGGTGGAAGTAACAACTAGAAAATATGGTTATTGTTTATTTTCCTTGTTTTAATGTCGGCAGAATATAAACATTGTTTTTCATAAAGGAGAGGGTGGCCCCTCAAGTACAGCAGTGCAGAGCTTTCCAAGTGTATTTAAAGGTATTTGTATGAAATGGCCATCTGAGCAGTTTCTGTGGGCTGCTGTGCTCAGAGGATTTCAGATCCTGCGTCCCTATAAAGAAGAGAAAGAAAACGGAATTCTGAAGCAGCATTTCTGTCAGGAGCAGCAGAAGTCACCTCCTGCAAGGACAGGGACAGCTCACAGTTGTCCTCCTACCAGGATAAAAATGTTCCTACCTACAGCTGGTGGTGGGAGCACGAGCAACCAGAGGAGATTGAGGCATCTGCAAGGAAAATATCCCAGAATGGCAGGAAAACGAGGGACTTCTGCAGTAGTTTCATTGCAAGGCTTTAAGGATCCCAGAGCCAGCAATTTGCTGACACTGTCATATCTTCAATTCCTAGGCACTATTAGCTGAGACAACTTACAAATGGTTGGACTAGTAGCCTAAAGGAATTGTTGGCCTTTGCCAAGACGGATAGAAAGAGTTGCACAGAAGATTCGAGTGAATCAGTCACTGCAGTGTGGAGGTGTCAGGACGGATAATGAGCCTTTATCCTCCTTCCAGGACTGCAGGAGCCTGCAATGGGATGAGAAATACCAGATAAAAATACACTGACCACACATTGCCTGTAGTAACAAGCAGCAGCCTGGCAAAATCCAACCAATCGAGTGGATTAGAGGATGGAGTTGACAGCCCATTCTTGTTTTTTGTTTAACGTGGCTCACACTTCACGAGGGCATTCAGATGGTACAAAAATGAGGGGGGTCTGACTGCTCTTTGTGATAGAAAACCATTCTCCAGCACCTGTTATTTAGGGTCATAGGAGTAACTGCAGCTCAAGTGAAGGACAATTTGGAGTGCTTCTGACTTTCACTTCAAATGAATAGAGTTTTAGCCATTTTTCAGGGAGAAATTGTACCTTTATCGTTGACTTTGTTGTGTGATGGTGTCAGCATTGCCTGTGTGATGGTATACCTCGAGGATAGATTTGCTCCAGGACTGTAAGAGGTGTTGTCAAATAAAGGTGGTAATATGCAACTGAGAGGTTATTTTATTTCCCTGCTCAGGAGTCCCATTAGGGCATTTCAGACATGTGAGCACAGAAGTTACCAGTGAACTCTTAACTAAGGGGGCAAATTGGTGAAGGCAGCAGAGCAGTAGAGTTGTCAGGGACAAAAAGCTGAAAATTATATGTGTGTTTCCAAGAGCCAGCATTTTTTTGCTTGGTAAATATTGGGTTTTGCTCTGGCAGAACAGATTACCAGCTTAGCTGTAGGAGGAAGGGAATCATTCTTCTATTGCTGCATGCGGTGAGTTTTCTTAATTTTGCATTTCTGGTGTCAGTGGGCTGTGTGTGCTCTTCAGGATACTGTGGGAGTAGAATATAACAGTTTGTTGAAGATAAGATCCTCATCCCTGGAAGTCCATCAGCTAAGGCCCTATTCAGAACATAGCAGAAAGCCCTATATTGGTATTTTATGATTCTGTATCATATCCTATATCTATATCATCTATATCATTCTGTATCATAGAATGGTTTGGGGTGGGAGGGACCTTAAAGACCATCTCATTCCAACCCCCATGATTTGATCATAGTGACCCTTGGGATTCATCCTTGCAAATAAAGATCTTTTAAAGCCTGTGCAGTTTAATGCGTGCCAAACAGGCAGCAGAATAACCCAGTGAGGCTTTGTGCTATCTCACCAACACATAAGCTTGGTTGAATACTATCTCCCCAAAAAACTTTAGGAACAGAAGGGATTCAGATTTTCCTGAAGGTCACCAACACAGAATTATTAAAAGAGCAAAACATTATGGTCTTCTGATGTCAGCCCTCTGTTTTCACCTTTGATGCCCTTTCCCTACTGCATTTAAGCTGTGGAGGAAGACTTGGCTGACTCCCCCAGCAAAGGTGAAGCCCAAGATAAGAGTGTGATCTCCTGTAACATGAATTCATTTAACTTCCTTAACTGCCATGGTGATATTTTTAGGAGTAGTTAAGTATATCAGGAATATAATGAAGATAGGCTTATTTAGTCTTTAGAGTAGCCATGACTCAAATCTTGTGGGGCTTTCTAAATCAAGCTCAGTGGCTCAAGCTATATCTGGAAAAATTCTGTGCAGCAAGTAGTGAAGGCAGCAGAGCCAATAATGAGCACTATGGAAGCAGCAGCAGGGGAGAGGGCAACGTTCTGTGAGGTGCTGTTAGTGCAGGGAGAAAAGACTCTCAAAATCAGATCACAGCAAGGAAGGAAAAGCGGAAATGCTGCGCAAATAACGTTCCTAAATATGTTTTGGTTTTAGGTGTGCAGGCTTCACTCTTAAAAAAAACCCAGAAAAATTCAAATAGAAATTATGTTGTCTTGCCTGGGCTGCAGGAGAAGTCACACCTGGAGATGATGTGTGAGGGTGGGGAGGCCCTGGCACAGGTTGCCCAGAGAAGCTGTGGCTGCCCCATCCCTGGAAGTGTCCAAGGCCAGGTTGGACGGGGCTTGGAGCAACCTGGGATAGTGGAAGGTGTCCCTGGCCATGGCAAGGGGGGGGAATGGAATGATCTTTAAGGTCCCTTGCAACCCAAACCATTCTAGAATTCTGTGTTTATTCTAGGGTGCTCTGTGTGTTGGGATTAATCTTTGTTACATGTAGAACTGTAATTTTTATGTTCACCAAAATATGGGCCTCCATGTTTGCAGTGAGATATAGAGGTGTGTGCTGATTTTAGAGGGGAAAAAAGTTTCTACAAGTATTGTTTTTGTATGTTACTGCAAAGTTTTGCATTCATTATCTTGATGAGTAAGGATTGCACCTCCACTCAAGATATTTGAAATTAAAATTACAGCTGCTACTCTCTTGTTTCTGGGGGTATGCTGAGTGCTTCTGAAGAGTAAATTCCCCATTACAGTATCATATAGTAAAATATTAGAATCATTTGCATTACACTGGGATTTTACAGCCGATTACTGCTCTGAATTATCTGTCATTAGCTCTCATTAAAGGCAGATTTGATTAGATGGACAATTGCCTATTGCAATTTGATTGCAAATACGTTGTTAGGCTTTCAAATGAATATTTAAAGTGGATCATTGCTCGATTTCCCTACGAACTTCTTTTTTTTTTTATCTTCTCCTTCCTCTCCCTCCATCTTTTAAGGAGCTTCCACCCAGAATTCCAATGCAGTGGAACCAGAAAAACAAGTTGACAGCACAGTAAAAATGGCTGGAGTTATAGCTGGTCTCCTGATGTTTGTGATTATCCTCTTGGGAGCAATGCTTACCATCAAGAGAAGGTAAGTTTCTGCTTTGCTTCCATCTTGGACCTATTGGTTACAGTGTTGTTGTTTCAAAAAGAAGAATAAATAAAGGGAGATCAAACATTTCTTTTGTGTTACAGAGGGCAGCAGTTAATACTTATTTATGCAACATTAACACTTAAGAGGTTGTAGTCTCAGAGGAAATGCTTGTTCTGGGGGATATTACATGAGTAACAGAGGAATGGTTGTTACTGCAAAGAGTTAGTGGTCATTAATTGATAATTAATGTGAAGGGATAACGCATGAAGTAGCATGTAGAAGTACAAAGTGATAAATGGAGCACCTCTCCTAATAGGAAAGGTTGAGAGAATTGGGATTGTTGAGCCTGGAGAAGAGAAACCTTTGGGGTGATCTAATTGTGGCCTTCTAGTACCCAAAGGGAGCTACAAGAAAGATGAAAAAAGACTATTTACAAGGGCCTGGAGTGACAGGACAAGGGGGAATGGCTTCACACTGACAGAGAGAAAGTTTAGGTTGGATATTAGGAAGAAATTCTTCCCTGTGAGGGTGGGGAGGCCCTGGCACAGGTTGCCCAGAGAAGCTGTGGATGCCTCACCCCACCCAGTTTTCCAACACTTGATTCTCCTGATGTTTTGTCTGTCATGACTGTTACAACACAAGTTATCTCACAGATAACAGAGACAAAGCCAGAACCAAAAATACTCACAATGCAGAGCGAGTTCTAGAGGTTGGAGACTGAGGACCCACTTGCTCTATATAAAAGTTCCCAAGCTCGTGCTGACCTGAGACAGTGCACGTGTTTTTCTGGGGAACTGGCCTGGTCCCTGAAGCAGCAATATTTGGTGGATTTGGGTGTGATGTCCCATGGACAGAACTTTGCCACAGGCTCTGTAAACTTAGGCACCTTTCTTCAGTATTAAAATAAAGGAGGTTGAGTGGGTGTATTAGAAATCTAAATTCTCCATTTTTGATTTCTAGAGCTGAAAAATCATACTTTCCTGTGTTGTTTCCACCCCCCAGTGCAAACAGGCAAAATCCCTGCAGCCTGTATCTCTCTTTGCCAGTTTGCTGTCCTTGGCAAGGTTGCCCACTGGAACCCACACTAAGAAATAAACTGGCTCACTGACTTTAAAATCTTTTCCCATTTAGAAGCTCTAACAGTGCAGGAGGAGGGTTTGGAGGCTGTCTCACACCTCCAGCACCACTCCCAGACCTGCTGAGCCCACAGGTTCTGGGGCTCCCCTGGATGGGCAGCAGCAGTCACGTCCAATTGAGGCTTGGAGCTGCATATGGACAAGTGTTCCCTGAAGATGAACTTAAGCCTGTCAGGCTCATTTAATTTGTAAACTAATGTGGATTGGGACCAGCTTTTATAAAAGGAGAAGCTGATTTGGACCACAAATTGATTGGATCTTTTAGAGGTGCAGAGCTGAAAGTTTGTGCTCTTCTGAGAGAAGAGTTAAACAACAAAGTTCTCTTTCTGTTTTGCAGACAGAAGCACTGGGAGCTTAAGCTCTTGCATTCCACTTTTGCATTAACCTCACTTCTAAAAGAGTTCCCTTCTCAGTGCACTGAGACCAATTCCTCACTGTACAAGCTGGGTAGTCTTACAAGGCAGCAATGCAGAAAAATAATTTAATTAGATGAACTCGGGATGTTGTCTTCAAATGGAGCTGGAAAATATCACAGTGACATTTGTTCACGATCCAGGGCTCTGCAGTTCACTGGGAATGGGCACAGGGGTGGATTCTCTCAGTGAAGCATTTTGTCAACCACTGCAAACAAAAAAGGAGGGAGAGGGATTAGATGAGACAGGAGCACTAAGAGAAGGAAGACACTGGTTTGAGATGAGCACTGGGATTGTCAGAAGCTTCATTTTGTTCTTGTGAGACACCAAATCAGCAGCACACTGGTTTGAACCTTTCAGATGCTAGGCATGAGCAAGTCCAATTGCTCATAGTTTCAGCAGACCATATTGCAAAAATTCCTGCAACTCACAAATTTCTTGGGGGCTGACGAAGTTTTATAGGGTTTAGACAGATATGTGAAGTTAATTAAACCAGTCAGAATGTTTATGCAGTGGAAAATTTGGGTTTGACTTTATGTTTATCATCTAAAAGTTTCAGTTGAAACCTCAGATCACTTAAAGTCTGCTGCAGATTCTGTATGAGTATGTGTAAAACGTGTGTGTGTGTATATATATATATGTTTTAAATATGACTGTCTTACAGTATCTAAAATCAGAATCAATTACAAAATCTGTTTTCTTGGTTTTGGGAACCCAGTAGCTCTGTGAGTTACATCACAGTATCATCATCACGTGTATGACACACAAATTGCTGCCACATAATGGAGAGAAACTGTTTACAAGGACATGTCATGACAGGACAAGGGGGAACGGCTTCAAACTAAAAGAAAGTGGGTTTAGGTTGGATATTAAGAAGATATTCTTCCCTGTGAGGGTGGGGAGGCCCTGGCAGAGGTTGCCCAGAGAAGCTGTGGCTGCTCCATCCCTGGAAGTGTCCAGGCCAGGTTGGACAGGGCTTGGAGCAACCTGGGCTGGTGGAAGGTGTCCCTGCCCATGGCAAGGGGTGGGAATGGAATGATCTTTAAAGTCCCTTCCAACCCAAACCATTCAGTGATTCTGTGATAATTTAGCCTGTTAATTTATAGGTGGTGATCAGTGCCCACTTGAGTGTATTTGCCCATAGAAGGCAGTACTGTTTTCTTTCATTAATAGATACATATCTTGAAATACCTCATTTTTATTGTATCAAAACAATTCCAATGCTCTAAGGAGATTGTTTCTTTGTCCTTAATAGTAGTTAAATATATTTGTGTACCAGAGAATACAGGATTGGTTAGTAAAAGCAAACTGAAACAAGACATTTGTAAACTTCTTTTTAGGAGAAAATACCCTTTGACTTTGCCCCCCCAAAGGATTTGATTTTGGTCAGTTGTGATTTCATCTGGACAGTTTTAATTCCGGTGTAATCGTGACTTGCATTTCCCTGGAGTGAAGAATGTGACACTTCTCAGGCTTGTGTGTTTGAGCAGACAAAGCCTCCACTGACCCCTTAAATATAAGGCTGAATAAATAGGATCAGACAGCCTGTCATGGGTGTACTGTAAATAAGTTCTTTAAACTGATGTCAGTAGCAAAAAAGGAGATTTGGGGCTATGTAGGGTCTAGGATTATTTCCTTCTATGAAAATTCAGCTCCTTATTCTGGATTAGGATTTAGGTTGTTGCCTTAAACTAATTAAATAAAACCCCAAAGCCTCTTGGGCAGAGCATACCCAAGCTGTAGGATAGAATCAGCAAAAGGGATATTTGCACATTTGTTGCCCCATGTCCCTCCTGTGTCCATATTTAAGGTGGGACACAGCCAGGGCTTTTTGGGTTGTTTCATACATTCTAGGACCAGGTCATGTTTTTACTGAACCATAACTCTGACCGTTTTTCACAGTAAGCTTTGAAATACTCCTTAGGAAGTCCTTATTTTAGGCTGCATATTTCAGGAGAATTTGAGCCAAAATGGACTGTCCAATTCCTAAACATAACCCTCCTTTTGCTTGCCTTTATTTTCTGTCCTTATGGAGCAGATCTTTCTGAGCTTTCCTCTGCAGCCTGGAGGGATGTGCAGCTTTTAATGAGAGCTGAGAGTCTGGTGTGATCACAGATGTCTGCTGGTGAGACAGGAGAGCAGCAGAAAGAACAGCAAGATGTTGAAGGGAACAATTGCAGTGGATAGTCCTGTGTGAAACCTGGCCTGGCCTCAGGGGGGGTTGGTTTAATGGAATGATTTTGGGGGTGTAGGAGGTTCAGCTTTGTGAGCTCTCATTTTACACATTGTGGTCGTTTTTCCCTTTGTTCAAAGGTTATTGGGAACTTGGAATTCCACAGTGAAACTCAGTGGCAGTCACTGCACCTTTCTGGTGCATTCTATGGCACATGGGATTTCTGGGTTTCATGAGATAAGAGAATTATGTTAAAATACCTTCAGGTCTACCTTGGAATCCATGCCATTCCAATAGCTTGGAAAATAACAGGAATCTGGCCAGAATTTCAGGTTTATAGCAAGAGCCACCTCCAGGAAAACCAAGTCATTTCCATTTAATCCTCATGAACTGTCCTTAGCCCCGTGTGTGCACAGAGTGACTGTGCTGAGTCTGGTTCCCCCGTGTGCTTATGGAATTTGTGTTCAGAGCAACCATGAAAGTGACCACTTGAACCCTGCAATTGTATTTCTAAGCAATTCCTAGTGTTTGTGGAGTCTTCAAGGGTTGGATTTTAAAGTTGTGCAGCAGACTGAAGTTTGTGTTTCCCTGTTTTTCCCTGTCTTGACCGTTGCTGCTGCTTTTGAGACTCCTCGTGCCTGGCGGGAGATCTGTAACACCCTGGGCCACATCTGCTGTGAACCAGCTTTTCAGAGGAGCCCTTTTCCAGTTATGAAAGGGAAAACATCACCTCTTAAGTTCTAACTGACTGCCAAGGCTCGGTTTGTGGTGCTGCTCAAACACATATCAAAATGTTCTGGACAGAATTGTTGAAAAACTGTGGTAGAAAACGCTTGCTCACAGTGACGCAGAAAGCTCGTGCATACCCCCAGTGCTCAGCTCTAAATATGGAGTGATGCTTGAATTGGTAATGAACTATTTGCATTTCAGAGTTTGATGAAGCGTGATTTATCATTAGACAATTTGCTCATTGTCTAAATATTCCAAAATTGTGGCGTTCTCGCATTGGCACTTCCCCTGTTTATTGTTATTTATATTAATAGCTCTGACATCTTTCTTTCCATTTCAAAAATGTCAAGGCACTTAACAGGCAAAAGTAAGTCTCATTATCCATGTTACTGCCGTGGCAAAGTGAGGGAAGAAAGAGGTGAGGGGATTTATACATGGTGACACCAGTCAGTAGTAGAAGTGAAACACAACCCGTCTCCAGCTCACTGTTTATTACTCACCACCCTATACAGCTCCTGGAAAAAGTGTAAGAAAATGGTAGCTCAGTACAAAAACCAGCACAAATACTTTGTATGTTGAAAAAGAATCCTAGAGTTCTTATAAATCTAATTATGTGCTTTTCTTTTTTTCTCCTTTTGGATATTTTGTTCATCTGATTGGCCGTCGATATTTAGAAGAAATGCCTATTCCTACTCCTATTACTTGTAAGTACTTGGCTGGGGATGATGTTTCTTGAGCATGCTCACCCTGTGGTAATTCTGTGCTTTGTGGTATTCTTTTCTTTTCCCACTTTATTTTTACCATTCCATTTATCCTTGTCTTTCCAGCAGCTCGTGTTTAGTTTTCTCAGTTGCACACTGTTGTGTTTTCCCTGTTCTCCCATTGCACCTGTAATTGTGCCTGCAAACACATTAATGTCCATATATCAGTTATGGTTTATAGCTCTTCAAATTGAATATTCTTCTTTAGGTTGGATAGTAGGAACAATTTCTTCTCCAAAAGGGCTGTCCAGCACTGGCAAAGGCTGCCCAGGGCAGTGGTGGAGTCACCATCCTGGAGGCATTTAAAACACATGTAGATGTGGCACTTGGGAACATGGTTTAGTGATGGACCTGCCAGTGCTGGGTTAACAGTTGGACTCGATGATCTTTGAGGTCTTTTCCAACAGAAATGATTCCATGATTCTATAAATGCTAATGGGACAGATACAGTGTCCCAAGTGCACCTTTTCAACATTCCATTGTACGTAGCCACACTTCAGGAAAATTCACACCTGAAAGATATTGTTGGGAAGCCATGGATATAAGCTTTTTAAAAATTCCAAGATTTCTGACAACTACAACTTGACAGGATCTCAGCAAACGTCCCTGTTGCTGGAGTTGCCAGGTTCCCAGGGTTGGTTTAGATGGCTGGATTATGAAGTGGTTCAGATATTCAGATCTAAATCACCTGTCCAGTCCTAACGACAAGGCTGCATAATTAAGGCAGTTTTTAAGGCACATGAAAATGCTTCACACATCGGTGTTTCCAGAGCCATCTGTTGCCTAAAGACTGAGGGGCTGGAAAGTAATCGGGGCCAAGCTGTTTCTGCTGGGATAATAGTTGTCTGAGGATCAGGAGGAGGAGAGGACTAGATCAATGATCTGAGGAAAGAGTCCCAGAGAACTGAGTTGGATGCTTTGCTGCCCTCAGAGGGTTGGGAGGGGTGGAAAGGCAGCTGTTACTGCTGAGAGGAACAGCTCTGCCCTCTCCATCTCTCAGAAGCAGCAGCCGTGTCACTGCCATCCCCCTTTTCCCGGGAGCACAACCTGCCACACTTGTCAGGGCTCTGAAATCCAGAGAGTTGTCAAAAGGGCCCTGCCAGTTCCTCCTGCTCTGCTGCTCCAGCAACCACATCCTTTGCCTGTTCCTACAGTTCCTCTTGGTCTTGGTCTTGGGACACCAGGAGGGTGCTGAGCAGGTCAGCAAAAGGAGCACATTAATGTGCTGCCATTTGAGTTCTTCTCCACTTGAGTTGCTTCACATCCAAAGGACGGGGACAGGAGTTAAGTCTGAGGATTCCTACATGGAGGGATCTTACTTTTCAATGACTTATCAGAAAATTATTGAAAGAGGCACCTTCCCCACTCCCTGGAGCACATGAGGAGCCTCAGGACACCATCACGAGCCTTGACTTTGCCCAGTGATGTCACTGTAAATGCAGAGTAACTCCAGTTCCTCTAGACCTCACTCTGCTTCTCTAAGAATGGAATTTGACCCCAAGAAGTCAGATTAAAGAGAAGTTTAACTAACTAGGGGATGCTTTTAACACATGGGTGCTGCTAGGTGTTTGAATTTCCTGGTACAACCTTTCCTCTTCTGCACACTTCTCATCTTTTACTGTTCTGGTTTCTTACAACCAGTAGCACCATTGCCTGAAAAATTCAGTCCCAGGTTTTCCATTATAATTTTGTCTTCTTCCAGCAGACACCATGTGGTCAGAACATTCCCTGCTCTACTATATTTTGAGATTTATATATTTAAAAAGATGAATCAACCTCTGAGCCCTCTGTGACCCATTTTACAGCAGCACCACATTGTTTTAAGCAGTCAGCTGAGGACTGCTCTGCTGGAGCAACCACAGGGATCCTTAAGGGGTCTCTTTGCTCTCTTGTAATGGCTTCTGGGGATCAATTTGCTAGAACTCTTTTTTTCTCAGGGAACAGTACAGTGACTCAGGAAAAGTGAAGAGAGGAACCTGAACAACAGTCAAGGCACAAGGAATATTCCAGTAGCGAGGGAAGAAATCAGGAGAATCCATGAAGGAGCAAACAGTGAAGTTTTACTGAGTTTCATGTTTCAAGGTTCACATGAAATAGGGTGTGGCATTGTGATTGCAGATGAAAATCTGAAGTTGCTAAGGACTGTGTAATTCTTAGCAAAGCTGATAGAAATTGCTACAGCCTCCCATAAGCAGAGAGGTTTGATTCAAGTTTATTTGAAATGTTGTGAAAATAAGAGCAGCAATATGTATATATATTTTTTTAAATAGAATTGGTTTCCATGCTATGACTTTGTATGAATGTTTTAGTTCTGAGGCAAAATTCAATTGAATGAGTTAGCAGCACTGAAAAGCAGGTTCTCAAATAGATCTGCTGGCAGACCTTTAAATGTGACCATATGGACTACATCACTTTATTTTTGGTTTCAGTTTCTGGACTTCAAAGTTGTGTTTCTCAGAGCAGTTCTTGTCTACTTTCAGATAATTCCTCTCAACACTTTGTCATCTGCTATACTGGCATTTCTTCTTGTTAGGAACCAAAATCTTCTTGTTAGGAAGGTCAAAATCCCCAACCCTAACTCTTCTAAACAGTTCTTAGTGATAACTCTATTAAAGTCACAGAGAGTTACATCATAAGTAACTGGTTTTTAGAGAGACAGGCCACAGCACTGTGGTGATTGGAGTTCTGCCTTCAGCTGGTCTTGTGTTCTGCTGCAATCCAGGGCTTAAAATCTGATTCTGTAAGATGGCTGAGCACCTTCAGCTCTGGTGAAACCAGTCACAAATATTCATTTATAAGAGCAGCTCTTTTAGTTATTTTTGGTATACGTAGTTATGGGATTTTTGTATAGCAACACTTGATTGAAAACTTGCTGCAACATGTAGGAACAGGTGAAAGAGAAGGCCATAAAGGTCTTTAATAATATGCTTTAAGTGGAAATACAAACCCAGGAGGCCTCAATTCCTAACTTGTAACTCATCATATAGTGTCCTTCAATTTATCCACCATCAAAAGCTGGTTCCTTATGATTTGAGATCCTGGGACAGAACTTGTGTTCGCCCTGGGAAAAGGGAGCTGTGGAATTGGGAGTTCCTGTCCTGGTGCACTCCTTTCATCCCTGTCCCCAGGGTGATGCCTGAGCCTTTTCAGAGGAGTTACTCTGTATTTACACCAATACAAATGGTGTCTAAGGCTGGTACAGAATTGCTGGCTGTCTCTTTGCACTTAAATTTAATGGGCAGTGCAAGATATCAACCCATCCACGTCTGAAAGCTTTTGGTTTTTTTTTCCTGGCTGAAGCTGTAAAACACAGGCAGCAATTCATCCATTTTACAGGAGGGTTTGCCTTTAATGACAGGCACCTCGTTTGCAACAGTATTTTCAACTGCAGCAACTCCTATCATGATTTTATTGTTTCCTCACCAGGAAAAGGAATGGAAATGTTTTCTCTGTGTGGGTTGTTTGTTTTGCTTTGTTTCTTTCTCCTGGGCTGAGTAATGGCTGCAGAATGAAATTTAATCAGGAGAGATATCAGACCAGGGAAGTGTTTCTGGAAATATAGAGATTCATGTGTGTGTTGCAAGCACTCAGTTTAATGTTATTTATAAGAGAAGGGCACTCAATGGCCAAGATGATGTTTTACTTTTCCCCTGAACTGGCCAGAACTCCTTGGACATTATTACAACATAGGAAGCCCCTTCAACTCCCACTGCAATTTCATACCAGTTTTAATTGTTGGATGGTTTCAGCTGGGAGGAATTGTCAAAGGTTATTAAGCTAAATTTATACTTACTTTTTTTTTTTTTTTTAAATAACAGGGTTTGTGCTGAATTTATTTCCACTGTCTGTGGGACATTTGAAAAGAAAAAAAAGCCCATTATTTTATTTATAGGCATACCTATGTATAACCACATTAATACAGAAATATCTCCATGTATTTCCATGGATGGTGGGATCTGCCTGCACAGGTCAGCTTGCTAAATCAGGATTTTAAGAAGAAACATTCCTTTAAGATGCTTTTCTCATTAAATGCTGGAAAAACAGAGTTGTTAATCAGTGGCTATGCCAGTCTAATGAAGGCAAATTAAAAAAAAAAAAAAGAAAATGCAGAAAGTAGGTGAGCTATTATTTAGAACGTGTCTGTGTGGTGATTGCAAGCCTAAACTTTGCAGGGGGCAGAGTTTGTGGCTGTCATAGCCAACACAGGCTTATATATATTGGATGGCTCTGACCTGTGTAAAGTTTGTAGGATTGTAAGTAAATGTACCCAAAAAAAGTAGTTAAAAATTTGATCAAGTGAAGCTTGGATCATATTTCTCAAGACCCTCTGTTTGTGTGCACTCAGTACGAAATACTCAGAGCATATTTTGACTTCCCTCTGCATTACTTCACTTTCTCCTGTCAAGTGATGTTTGCTCTGTAAGTAACAATGCTCCTTGCTCTTCACTCCACCTGTACTCCCTGTGTTCCTGCCATAACCTTCCTGAGGCCAGGAATGCTCCTCAGCCCTGCTGAGGCTGCAGTCAGTGCAGGGGGAGCAGGTGAGGAGGTGCAGATTGAAGGAGGACCATCAGAGCACGGAGGAGATTCCCCAAAGCATCGGAGCGATGGAAGGCTCTGAACTCTTGTTCCACTTGCTCTGTTTACAGATCTTTAGTGACCAAGACTTCACAGCCTGTCTGCCCTGTCAGTTTGAGAGACAGGCAGCTTTTCCTGCATGGAGTTGTCCCCAAGTTTGAAATGAACTGCCCTTCCCATAGCTGAGCCCTATTACTTACTCCCTCGCCCCTGCAGACAGTGAGAGCAGCTCCCCTGTGGTGTCTTTTCATATGTTTGAAGACCTCTCGACCCTATTTGATTTCCTTTTCTCTAGATTACAGATCCATATTTCCTTTGGCCTTTCCTTGTAGATCATGTTTTCCAGCTTTACCTTCCTTGTCCTCCTCTGTGTGTGTCCCTTTGGCACGTGTCTTATTTGAAGTGTAGTGTTACAGCAGAGCCCTCTCTGATCCTCAGTCACACCAAAAGGATCACCCAGGCCTGGCAGATTGTAGTGCCGTGTATAATCCCTCCCTTATTTTTCACACCAGCATGAAACTGTTCTTCTAAACTGAATTTGTGATCTGCCACAGGTTTAGGGGATGGAGATCCTGTTCAGCAGATCTTCTGTTTAACCAGTGCTCCCTTTTATTTGTATGGCTCATCACAGCCTGCCTTAAATTGCTGCAGATTTCATCATAAATAATGTGTGTGCTCCCAGCAGTTTACTATGCACAGTTCTGCAAAAGGAGTTTTATTTTGTGGCTTTTTGAAACTGCTTATTGAAAACGAGGGCAATGTGCAATTCGTGTCTGTGGGAGGAAATTTCACGTTTAACTTAGGTGATCTGTACCTAATGTCTAAATTACCTGTGCATGCAAATCTACATTACAGTGTATATAACCCATCCCTGGGAAACATCTAAAATTAAATCTGTCAACGTAAACGTAGGAGAGTTCTGGAGGAGTGGCAGTTACAGCTTTAACATTCATGTAGAATTGATAGAAAAAGTTAAAGAAGAGTTTGAAGCTGTTTTTAAAAAATAATCCCTGACGCTTATCCAAACCTCTGCAAAACAGGGATCTGATCCTGCAGATACTTCCAACAGAAAATATTGCTTGAGCTCTCTGATTAATGCCCGTGGCATTAAATGGTTTGTGCTCAATACCAGGTTTGCATTCCTGGAGTGTTTAAGTGGAACTCCGGCAATTTTAATGTAGTGCTTCAGATTTTACGTCTAGTTTCTGATAGGAGTAGAAGTTTGAAAAATAACTGAATCAAATCTCCATCTTTTTTTTTTTTCCAAAACCCACACCCAGTTGAGGTTCACTGCCAATAGTTTTATCCTTGCTTTCGTGGGGTCACCATCAACTGCCTGATTATACAGCTGATTTCATTTTTTTTACTCAACGTCGAGCATCTTTCTGTCTCATCCCTCCTGTGTGTGTGTAGTGCTTCTAAACACCATCTCTTCATTTACAAGCCCTGCAAGGGGCAACCCACTAAACTCCATCCACAGACTCCTGTTTTCTTCTTCACACATTACTCTTAAATGTAACCCAGCCATTAATATCACCTTATTCCCATGCTGACATTTCAGTCTCTCCACCTTTGTTGATTGTAGCACTCTTCTTCCCAATATCTGCCTGGGCCTTTATTTCCTCCCGTTTTCAGCTGCATAATGCATGAGTGGGGAGGTGTCTGCTCGGTGCCTGCTGTCAGGCTGTGCTGGGCACACTCTGGGCACCCGTGATTGACACTAATGCTCCCGGAGCAGCTTCGCGGGGCGTTGCAGGGCTGTGTTCAGGGGAGGCTGGTCAGTGGGGAGAGCAGGAGCCCTGTCACTGATGTGGCTTGCCAGTGATCCGCAGAGATCTCTATTTTTGGAAGCAGCATTTCTAGATGAATGCTTTCCCAATTCCTAAGGCATTTTTGACACGCTGGGAAATCAACCTCTACCTAGCTGCGGGTTTAAGTCACATCCTTAACATTCTGGAAAGTGCTAGTCATTTGATTTTATAATCCTTTCTGTGAATTATAATGATGGCAAGGACCAAATAGGCTTAGTCCTGTGCTGCCACTCTCTCCAGACACGGAACGGCAACAGAAAAGGCATGTTCAGAAACCGAGAGCCCCTTGATGTGTCTGGCGAGCTTAGCTCTGAAATCCTCCAAAGAGATCTGTCTTCCTTTTCCCTCTAAATTTAGATGGAGAAGTTTTACCTTCTTGGAATAGAGAGGGAGAAAGGTGGAAAGTGATAAAGAAAATGGTAGCATTTTTCAGGTGCAGAAGCGTTTTGTGTTCCCTGGTCCCCCTGTGAGCTCCTGCGCAGGGGCGGCCGGTTTGTGTGTGCGAGTTAGGTTGGGACCTTTAAACTCATGTCACCTTTTCTTTTTAGGCATTCAAGCCAATGTTTTAGGGGCCTCTCTGTCTTCTACAGGACCAGGTAGAACTCCTTTGCATAGGGCTGTTGTAAGCAGGCCTTTGGGGACTAATGGGCTTGGGTTTGGGGTTATTTTTTTTTCCTGCCTAGGACATGCAGAAATGTTGTTGCTCAAAGAGAAAACGAGTTTGCCAATTCCAGCTCTTAGTAGCCTGTTGGCATTTCTGAAAAAAATACCAGGCCGTGGGGACTTACAGATAATAATTGCCACAAATAATTGCATTTGGATTTAAAAAGGAAGTCGCCCTTCTTGACTCACCATTTTTAAACCTCAGCAGTGGTCGTCTGTAGGGGCTCACCCCAGCAGTCCAGAGTGCTTGTTATTAAAGACTTCTGCATTTTGGATTAGTGTTTCCCACTGAGAGATTTTAATTCCTGTTGCCAAAAGAATTCACACAGGCATGTGCTATTAGCAAATTTGAAGGATTATGGAACCACATAGTAGAGTTAATACACTTCAAGACTATTGTAGTTATCACAGGTACCACAGCACAAAAAATAGAGGCTCCCATGTCTGCAGCTCTGTGCTAACATTGCCCAGCACTGGAAGCAAAGCTTTTAACATCATTAAACACCAGCTTTTTGCTTCATCGCTCAAGGACTGTTCCCCTTTGTATCTTCATCTGCAGGAGTGGGTGCACCATGGGGGTGTGGGGAGATCTAAATGTGCCCCCTGTGGTTTCGTACTCAATTTAAACAGCTCTGGGTTTGGATTGGAACCACTAATTGTAAAAGGCTGAACCCCAGCTGGAGGAGCAGATGAAACATGTGTTTGTTCTAAAGTTTGCAGCAAACATTCGAGTTTTCTCCATAAATCTGTGCTCTCCTGATCTAGATTATCCACTTGCTTTAAAAAAGTCCTTTTCCCACAGACACAGGCAAAGGTTTTAGCTGTCTTTGACCCTTTGTTGCAAACGAGGGTGACTGGCCAAGCTGCCCATCTCCTGAAGGCTGGGGCTCAGCTGTGTGCTTGAACTTGCTTGGAAATGCCACTCTGACATGTTCTGTGGATAAATAAAGCCCGTTAGACTATGCTGCAAGGAGTATCTTTTTTAAGAATCTAATGAAGTTTAAAAGACAGGTAGCACTTACCATAAGCCTGTAGTCTTAGAGAAGAAAAACCTCTTTGCACAATGATTTAGTCGTTAGGATTTTTTTTTTTTCTTCTTTGAGTCGGAGGAAAGAGAGAAATCTAAAGCTCCTGCTTACAGTAATCTGTTTTTCTCCCTTTTATTTTGTTTTATTTTCTTATCTAGGGAAGTCGTGTAAGCAAAGTTCTTTGCTGGCGCCAGGGATTTGTGTGATATTTTTTCAAGGTGTGGATTGTAGAATGTCACACATTCATTTTTAAAGGGTTTTGCTCTCTGATACAAGTGAAGCACAGGGCAGTCAAATGTCAGTGGAAGCTTAGCAGCTCACTTTTTCTGCTTCTCTCCATTTTCTTGTTATTAGCTCTGTTTGCAAAAGAGGAGCCTCTTATGCTCTCAGCTCTGGGAGTGTTTTCAGAGCAGGCAGCGTTTCTGCTTTGGCCAAAGTTTTTGCTGTCTCCTCAAAATAAGAAAATACCTTTTTTTCCTGGAGCACAGGCATATGTGGACATTTCTAAAACAGTTTCAGCCTTTAATTTGCCCCACCCCTCACTGGCTGTGGATCCTCAGTGCAGTTTGGGCGTGTATCAGAATTCAGGAGGCCACTGCCCTCAATGCTGTGATGGGGACAGGACAGAACTCTGCTCCAGCTCTCAGGTCACACAGAGACAGGTCCCCTGGAGCACTCTGAGAAAACCCCTGGTGCAGACACCCCATGGGATGGATGCAGATGTCCCATCACCTCCGAGTGAGTGGTGCTGATCACTGCCCCCATCCCGAGCCCTCTGCTCTCCCTGGAGTGGTTTCCACCCCCTCCCAGGGGCTCTGCCTATGCCACCCTCTCCAAGGATGAGGTAGCACTCCCACTGCTGGGGTGATGCAGGTTTGTGCAACAGAAGTGTCTGGGAGGGTCAGCTGAGCTCAAAGATGTTTCTTGTGCTCCACAACAGTTACATTCAGAAGTTGTGGGCTCTGCTCTCGTGCAGTTTGTCAAATGCCCTGCATGTCTGACCGAGTGGGGTAACTGTGGTTTGTCAAAATATTTTGTCGTTGCTTCGTTTTTCATGAGGGAAAACTGACCTTGGTTTCTCCCCTCTCCAAACTGCCCCAAAGGAAGCTGGCCAAGAAGCAGAAGGAGACTCAGACCAGCACACAGAGGGAGATGGGTCCCGTGGCTACTTCTGACAAGACCTCCACCAAACTCAGTGCTGTGCACAATGAAGATGCTTTTTCTTCCAGCTGCCAAGATGTTAATGGATTCAGTAAGTTTAACTTGCTTGCAATGGATATGACCCCCTTGGAGAGCTCTGGGTTCCTAAAAGGACCTCTTCCTATGGGCACAATGTTGAGGAGTTAGGAATGGCAGTGATAGAGATCATTGCAAAATCTCCACAGAAATCTGGAATGTCTCTGACACTGCCCCTGTTTTAACTGTTAGACAGGTGGAGAACATTCCTGCTGGCTCTAAATCTACTGAGAATAATTCATAGTCTGTTCTAATAACTCCATCAGACAGTCAAAGAGGCACATGTTTATTTGTTCCTTAGAAATATCTTTTCCTTTGTGAGTAGGAGAGTCAAATCAAATCACTTAGCTGACTTGTAGGATGAAATAACATTTTCTGTATGAAATGGTTATGAAAGAAGGCATGGTCTCCTGGCTAGAGAACTGGAATGGAAAGACAGCATTTCTTCTTTTTGTCTGTGTCCTCGCTTTATTCTTCACCCAGGTTCAGTAAAACTGATCTTAGTTAACACTTGTAAACCACTCAGACCTCTGTAGCTCAAAGAGTTTTGTGGGTAAAGCAGCACAAAGTCATCCTTTAGCCTCTCTAGATGCAGGCTGAGTGCATGGTGGATTGCATGGTGGATTTGTAAACTTTTTTTCGTATTAAATAAATATAAACTTAGACACTCTGGGCATGTCACTCCTTCTTTTGACACTGAGCCTGCTAGTTTGGACAGGGAACAGCTCTGAAACTCAAGTGTGTACTAAAACTCTTGTCTTTAGTGAACTGGTTTTTCCCCTAATTACTAACATGGATGTGCTCATGGTACAAAATGTGTTTTATCACTGCCACTGATTTCTTGTAATCTCAGATTGAGTGGGACAGGCTGAGTGAATTCTTCCTTTCCCTCTCTCTGTAGGTCATGTCAAATTCCATCTGCACATGTTGCTGCTGCCACTCTGGGTAACTCACCCTGAGATGGATAAATAGGTGTTTGGGACCGTCAGGGCCAGCAGTGAACACTTTCCTCTGATATTAAATTGACTTCAGTCAAGATCTAATTTTCTCAGGCTCTGAGTAGCTCTGTCTCCTGAGGAGGCAGCAGGAGTTGTCTGGGGTTCATATCTTTGAGAGGCAGGATAGCAGCAGACACTGCTGGAACAGCCACCCCGGAGCAGCCAGGGCAGCTTGGCTGAAATGTCTGGGGAAAATGAAGTGTTTAACACTTCCTTCAGAATCTGGGTTTTCAAAAGTCTGGGGGTTCTTTTTCCATCCAGAGACAAGCTTGAAATGTGACCTCATTTCTTTCCCTTGGTATTCTGACAGACTAATTAAAACAGCTGAGTCATTTGCTTGAAATGGCAATTGTAGAATATATGCTGTATCAAATTTGGTGAGAAAGCATCCCTCCAGGTTTTCTCTTCTTTAAATCAGTTAGACCTTTGCTTGTCTGACATCACTGCAGATTTTACCAGTCTCCCCCTGTAACACAGCCTGAGTCAATCATGGGTTGACTCTTTTTGGATTTTTCCCTCTTTATGTCCATGAGAAAGAATTATTAATGAGCCTTCATGATTTCTTCAAATTTTTGACTGCCAAGTCCAGGATGCTGAGGTGTTGGAGGTAAGTTCTGTGCAGTAGTGTGCACATGCTGATACAGGAATTTTATGGGTAAAAACCTTCCTTAAAAAAAAAAAAAAAAGACATAATAAAGTTTAAAACTTGAGGGTTTCTATGCAGGCCTGCTTTGGAATAACATAATAAGATTAATTCTTAACCTTCCTGCTAACTAATAGAGTTTTACTGAGGGTTATCCATCCTAGCTGGTGAAATCAACTGTCTTAAGCAGCAGTCAAAATCATTCTGAAATTGTCTCTTTGCCCCCAATGGTAAATAGAATTTGCAGATGCCTGCTGATGGGGAGTCACCCTCTCCATGCTGCCCCTCACCTCTGGGAGCCTGACTTGGCTGCAGCAGTGACATGGAAATACCCCCCTCCTTCTTGAAGAAAAGTCCACCAAGAGAAACAAAGTGTTCTCAGTCCCAGGATCACCTTGGGAGCTCACAAAAGCAATTAAATAGAACATGACAACTTGCTAAGTAGGATCCCTCACAGTTACTGAGTGACTTGCAGACAGGTTTATCTCCAGAATACATGTCCTTGCAGGGCTTGTGCCCTTCCCTCCAGTTTTTGCTTTCTGTCACAATAATTTTGATAATTTTGCAGGCAGAAGAAATTCAGTGAGTCCCTGTAGAAGCTTTTCTGTTCCTGTGGTCCCTCCAGCTTGGCCAGGGCTCTGCTCCCGTGGCAGGAGGACTATTGCTCTCCCTGGATGAGCCCTGCCCACCCTCCTGCTGTAGCTTCCCTGTCACACTGCCCTGTCACCTCCAGCAGCTCTCAGAGGTGCTGCCTGGTGCCCTCCATCATGAATGAGATCAAAAATGAACAGCTGCCCTTCTGCTTCTCAGCCCCTCCTTCTCTGAGGAGACACCAAGACCTCACGTCTTGCTGAAAGTGGTAGAAAATTGAGCATTTACCTTTCCTGGCCTGAAGCAAAGCCCCTCATCCCTCCTTCCGTTCTGCAGTGTTAGTTGTTATCCAGGCAGGATTCTTATTCATGCATACAGGGGTCTAAATTAAAGAGATTTTTTTGGACTCAGCCTCTGTCTGTGACACCATATGGAATCAGAGGTGTTTGCTGAAACATGAAATAGTCCATGGCTGTTCCAGCTTGTCTGGTTTTACTCAGGGATCATGTGGAGGTGAAGCAGGCTCACTGTAGTTGTTCGTTTCCTCCAGTATCATGGTTTTTAAAAAATAAAAATACATCCTAAATCCCTTAGAGGTAGATGAAGGTCCTTGGGTGTTGGAGTGTGCTCTTTGGTGTGCAGGAACATCTGGGAAGCAGCACAGTCACACGTAGACGTTGGTCTGTGCAGGGTTATTATGCACCAAGATGGCAAATTGGAGGCAGGATGGGCCTAAATTGTCCCCCGGATCTGCAGTGACCAGGAGGGTGTGCAGGGGGGTGTCACCACCCAGAAATCCCGTGCAGTTTGGCAGGGATGGCAGAAGCAGCAGTACAGGAGCTCAGCAGTGATGCACTGCTGATGTGTTCTGCTCTTCTGGCTGTGCTGTGCTAAAATGCCACGGACCAGGCTTGGCCAGGAGAATTCCATGTCCCCAGCAGAGCCATCCTGACATCCTGGCAGGGGTTCTGGCAGGAACTGTTTGATTCTGAGGATTTAATGCCTTAAAATGCAGCCAGTTTTGCTGGAAACTGCTTTATGAAGGTGTGCTTAACTTCTGTAACATCTCACTTTGGGAGGAGACCCCTTTCCAGCCACCCTTCAGGGGTGAGACTGTAGAGATGAGGTCTGTGGTTTAGTGTTCCAGCATTTTGGAAGTGGGGGAGCTGAGTTTTGCAGTAGTAGACACTACTACACAGTTACCAAGTTACTCTGCTTTTATTTAGGAGAACGAGATGAGAGGAAGGTGTAGGTAAGTGGCACTCAGGATGTTAAGGATCCCTTTGAACCAAGAAACATATAAACTCACACCTTTCCATTTCCTGAGTGTTTTTGTGATGAGTGACATGCAAAGGTCTTTAGGTTTGCTCTGACTCACAAAAGACAAATACAGCAAGATCTGGTTCTTACTCCTACCCCATAGACAATTTTCACTCATAATCTGGTCACCTGCTAAGTGCAGTCCAAGGACTTGTAGTGTCATGAATATGAGGTGTTTTCTTTAGTACAAAAATTATTAAAAATAAAAAATAAACCCACATTTCATCAAAGGCATAAAAGGAAAATATACTAACTTCCCTTTTACTGGTTTGCATGGGATTTTTGTGGGGTTTTCTAGCACAAAAGAAATCTTATAAAAATGAAAGAAGAATAATTTTCAGACTAGGAAGAAGCCTCCACCACTCTGCATGACTAGAGGGATCTGTCATGTGGCCTCACGTGCCACTCCAGGGAATACAAAGAGAATTTTTAATGAAGTCTTAATCTCTACCCCGATATGAAATCCTCTCTGGACGTGTTCCCTTTGATTACAGAGCTGAGTGCTTGTAAGAACCTCTGGTTAGGAAGCAGCACTGTGTACACATTTCATTATACAAGCCACCACCTGACTGATTTGGGAAAGAAGTTCTCCAAAGTATTGGGAAACTTTGTTGTTGTTGTTGTTTTGTTTTCTTTGTGGTTTGGTTTTTTTTTTTTTGGGGGGGGTATTTGTTTGTTTTAGGGTTTGTTTGCTCATTTTTGGGGTTTTTTGTTCATTTCATAAACCTCAGTTGGTAACATTTTTAATCAAACTCACTGAAGGGAGGTGTTTATCTTCAGCTGCCTCAGTAATTTATCCTTAGCAGTTCTGGAGAGGCAATAAGGCCCTGTGAGTTCTTTACACTCCCAAATTCCAGAAAGCCTTCGGTCCTGCTCCAAGCCCTGAGCACCGACTTGCTCTGTGGTGCTGGGCAAACCAATTCCTCTGTTTAGATCTTATTTTATGTATCTGCCAAAGTGACCAAGTTCTGAGTGTGGTAAGAGAAGGGTCTGATTTAGGCTGACAAACACAGAGCAAGAGGCCCCAGAGGAGAGAAGCTTTCTGACTCTGGGCAGCTGGGACAGACTAAACTATGAAAAATTCAATTGTTTTAATGTGTTTTCAAGTGGTGTAAGTCTGAAAATGTGCTGGGAGAACTCAGAGTGAGAGCAAGTTCATTTACTAGATGATTCTAAACTGCTCGGGAGGTAATTCTGCTGACTTTATGGAACTCCCTAGACCAGTGACTTCTTTGGTTTTCCCCATAGAATAACTCGAAGTTTTTAAGCGGTGTTTGCTCTAGAGATACAAAAATTGCTTCTGAAATTACTTTGATGTACACTGAGTTTTATCTACTTCCACTGGGCTGTGGAATAGTTTTTCCTGTGTTATCTGCTGTCATCTTTCTGATGTACTGAGATTTGTATTAGCTTGTTTCCCAACATTCTGAGGAGGAGATAAATAAATGCCTGTAACTCCAAGAGTGAATGCAGAGTGATAACAAAAGGATATGCCTTCAAAAATGATGGATTACCATAAGAATGTACATGTTTGCTATTGTAGGTATAAACCAACCTCATAAATTTACTATCAAGACAAGAATCTATCGTGAAGATGTTGAGCCTTTCCAAAATTGTTTGATTAATATGGAAATACTTGATTTTATTAATATGGAAATTTGTGGATTCTTGTCCTGAGAAATCTGTTGCTTTAATGGGAAAAGGCAGGGATGCTTGTCCTGCTGAAAGAACCCAACTCACAGGGGAAAGGATTATAGGGTTTGCTGTGAACAGCCCTGGCTTGAAGAACAAGTCCCTTTTAATCTTGTGCTGTTTTAACCAAAAAATTGCTCCCCTGCCTGTGTATTTTTGTGGTTTATTTTACTGTTAATACTGACTTTCTGCAGTTTGTATTTTGGGGGTCATTTTTAAGAATATTTCTCCTAGAGATAAAACCATAAGTTTGCTTCTTTGGTTAAAAAAATTGATATTTAGACTAGAGACCTGTGAATGTAGCTGTATGTGTATCCCTTGTAGGAACATATTGATTTACAGTAACTATAATACTATATTTGGGGTGTGGAGTGCTTATATTAAAGAAAATCCATCATGATGACAATGTAATAAATGTAATATGCATGTCGAGATGAAAAATATAATTCATTTTGATAAGCCTTATATATCCCATATTACTGTGTTCTTTGAGGAACATTCTCCCTGTTCTCTTTCTCTCTCTTAATATATGTCTAAAGTCTTTTCCTTATGTCTTTCCTACCTAGCATCACCCTCTCCTTGTTCATTTTCTGTCCAAAGCAAAACCCTTCAGAGCAAATCTATGTTGAATTCCTACTACTCAGGTACTAGTGCCAGACTTTTCTTTCCTTTCTAAATTTCCTTTGCCTTTTTATGTTTCCCAATATGACCTATAAGACTGAGGCTTCTGAGTGTGACACACAGCTAACCTTGTTTTCGTTTTCTGTAACTTTTTTTTCCCGTTGACCTTCTGTTGGTTTCCATTGATCCGTGTCGTGTGGGTGAACGGAATTCCATCTCAAAAGTATCATCAGACACTGTCCCATCGACCACGCTGTTAGGTAAGAAGACAGGTATGGTGTATGGCACTGGAGAGCAAACACACTCATTGTATCCTGAAAATAACCTGGAGAGAGAGCACTGCTAAGTGTTGGGGTTCCAAAATCACGATTAATCCCGGGGTCGTGTGTTAAATGGAAAGCTTTTGTTTCATTTCTGTTTTATTATTGTTATTAATTGATTTTTTTTTTTTTAAAGGAAAGAACAGTTCAAAAATGAAGGTTTAGGAGTTCTAACAAGTATTTGGTGTTTCTTTTTGTGAATGAGGTTTGGGTTCTGGGCCAAATTCCCACACACAGCCTTGCCTGCAGCCTAGTTTTGACTCATGGAGATGGTTGTGCCTGTGCAGCCAGCACAGAATCACAGAACTGTTTGGTTTGGAAGGGATCTTTTTCATGGAGACAGGCTGGAAGAGCTGTGGGTGTTCAGAGAAGGCTTCAGGGAGACCTTAAAGCCCCTTCCAGCACCTAAAGGGGTTCCAAGAGAGCTGGAGAGGGACTTGTGACAAGGGCGTGCCTGGAGTCACAGGACAAGGGGGAATGGCTTTAAACTGAAAGAGAGCAGGTTTAGATTGGACATTAAAAAAGAAATTGTTCCCTGTGAGGGTGGGGAGGCCCTGGCACAGGTTGCCCAGAGAAGCTGTGGCTGCCCCATCCCTGGAAGTGTCCAAGGCCAGGTTGGACGAGGCTTGGAGCAGCCTGGGATAGTGGAAGGGGACTGGAACTTAGATGGTCTTTAGGTTCCCTCCTATCCCAAACCATTCTGATTCTCTGATTTATGAGTTCCTCTGCTATGAAGCAGAAAGATGATTTGTGGTTGATCAGAAGCAGGAAGATGATTTGTGGTTGATCAGAATCTCACCAGTGGTGTTTATCAGACCTGTCATTTTGGATTATCTGCAGTAAATGCTCCCTCCCAGACACAGTAATGTGCAGTGACTGCCTTGAACATCACTCAGAACACGATGAAGGGCCATCCTAGACCAGGATGGAATTACAACCAGTGGCTGTTCTTTGGCTTCCAGACTGACAGCCTGGGCACAGAGGCTTGGAGGGGCTGCCACAACACACACATTCATCCTGTTGTCTGTCAAAAGCTGACAGCAATGGATGAGGCCTCTTGGAATGAGGTGGGCAGGAAAGGAGTCCATTTTCCAGAAGGTTTGTTCTTGTTTCCCAGAGACTCAATAAAAAAGTCCAAAGCCAGGTTTCTCTTTTGGCTGTGCCTCAGGAACAGGGCCCTGACCTGCAGTTTGCTGGAAGATGTGAAACTTCTCTGTCTTGCACTCAGCATCTGGGAAAACATGATCATCATTTGGGGGAGCTGTTTTCCCTCTCTGTCATGACAGAATTGTGGTGTGAACTGCACATTTTATCTCCTGAAGCTCAAGGAGCAATGAACAGGTTCAATCTGTATTTCTCATAGCAAAGCAAAAGCCAAAAAAGCCCCCAAAACTTTTAAAATCTCAAATTTTAGAGAGGAAAAAGAGGAAATAGGAATTTAACTTAGGTATTCAAAACTCTTTTAAACTTTTACTAACCGCTATATCTGAGTAAGAATTTATTTCCCTGCTTTACACATGGGATGTGAAGTTTAGAGCACTTTTAAGACCTGAATTACACTGACTGGTCACCACCCCAGTTCCACCTGAATTTAACAGGCTGTGAAACATTCCTTGGCACTGGAGAAATTTCTATCTTGTGACTCGAAGACAAATTAAGACCTTGGTGTTCTGGCTTCTCAGAAAGATTCATCAGACCTTGGATGTTGCTGTATGAGCAAAATAAGTTTAATTTTTGATGTTCCTTAATATTCATTCCCAGGAAAGAGAAAGATATCTTAAAAGGGACATCAGTCATCCCACTACCAATATCCATCTCTGGGCTCTGCCTGCAGTTCAGCACTGTTCCCAGCTGTTGTACATTCTGCTAATAAATGTTCTGTATCTGCAGTAGTAGATGACTCCCTAGGCTTGACTGGGACAAGATTTGTCGATAGTAAGATCCAGGGGATTTTGGTTTTGCCTCTACCCTATCCCATGCTTGATTAATCCTTTCTTATGTAATGCATGTTTTTAGTGAGGCCATTTTCTCTTCCAGTCCTGGACAACTCTGGATTTTAAATGTTTCTCACAAACACCTTCACTAGAGAACTGAATATCTGACACTGAGAAATAAAAGAGGTGGATATTCACCTGAAGAGGACGGAGCACAAGCTGAGAGGTTGTTTTTGGGAGAAAACGTTCGTGGCCAGGAGCTCTTGAGGATGTTCAGGAGATCTGATCAGTGCAGTCTCTCCCAGGGAACCAGCATGTCTTTCCTTTGCATCCACTGTCATCTCCCAGCAGTGTGTGAGGACATTTAGCCTTTTTCTCATTTCAGGATCCTCACAACAGGAGCTGCTGCCCTCCAGAGAGGATGGGGACTGCAGTGCCTTGTAGCTGCTTGCAGATGGGCAGAACAAGCAGAGAGAGCTCCTTGTCATGAAACTGGCTTGGGCTTAGAAAGGCAGAGAAATTTTCCCTGGATTTCACTCTTATGTAACTTCGGATGGGCTTTGCCCATTCTTAACCAGTCTGCTGTGGGTGTATCCACAACCTGGTTTGAAGGACTCGGAGATGTTCAGAAGCCAATATCGCCGCTCTAACAGCATTACTGGTTCTTTTAATTGTGGGATGAGTTATTTTTATGCAATGGAAGCTCAAAAATCAACAGCTTGACCTGTTCAGTTCTATCTGCAGCCTCCCAGGCCATGCCAGCCCCTGACAAGGAGCTGTGGGAGAGGCTTTCCCATCATTTCCTTGTGCTCAGGTTGGCAGCAGAAGGAGCAATGGAGGGGCAGACCCTTGTAGGGATCCTTGAGCTGAACTTCTCTTACATTTCTTTCTGCCTGCAGAACATCAGGTGGCTTGGAAAACTCTCTTTTCCAGCCATTAATGTCTTCTAGTTTCCTGTGGTGTTTTGAGGCTGCCAGTGGTTTTTCAGCTGTAACTAATGAATTGCTCTGAGAGGTTGGTAGGTCTGGCACCTTCTCCTCACCGAGGAGGCAAAGAGAGATTTGACTTGGCAAGGTCCACACAGCTGAAGAGCTGCAGTTACACTTGTCCCCAGATCTTTGCCCACCTCACCAAAGGAACTTTGTGCCTTTAACAGGATTTTTTTTTCTAAGCTAACTGATGAAGAAAATGTGTGGAATGGTTTTTATACTATTAGAATGCTCTTGCATAAGGTGTTAACCAAGCAAGTCTTAAAAATCTCTAGAACCTGGAGAAAATTACTTACTTTTTTTAAAAAATTATGGATATGTGGCTTCTTCACAGCCTTTGAAATGGAAGGTGTATCTTCTGTTCTCTGTCAAGCCTGCTGTCAGAAGGCTTTTTGTTGAGGCTTTTCATAGCTCAGTTGATATCATTTGATAAGGGATGTTTTGACTCTGCTTTGCCATAGCACTGTTGGCGTTGTAGATAGTACATTATAGCTGGATATTTATCATATAACAAAGCCTTGATGCACACAAAAAAGCAAATTATTTTTTCCAGCTTGCACCATATCCCTGGTGTAAGGGCAGGAGGTATCAGCCATGCTGGAGTCATCCTCAGGAGATGTCAAGATGACAACCCTTACTCTGGTGTAGAGAGACTGGCTCTGTGTGTAATTAAATCCATCACAAACACCACTCAAAACATAATTTATTTTGTGCAAAGGATGTCTTACCACATCTTATCACTTGCCAAGGCTAAGAGAATAAAAATATAAGCAGAGATGATAGGCCTGTCGTTTCAGACACAGAAGGAATTCGTGGTTATTAAAGCAAAAGTTTTGAAAGAAACTTGTCCATGTATAGAAGATGGCACGTTAGTTCAGCTTTGCTTTTAGTTGTCTGAGGCTTAAGTTGGTTTTCTGGTCAGGAGGCAACATCATACTCTGTGTCCAGATATCCATTTCTCTAACTGTGTTTCCAAAACAAGATGATATCTATAAAAGCATCTAAAGCTTTAATCCCCAAAGGTGCCTGGAGGAGCAGGTCCCCTCCCAGCCTTACTGGGATGTTGCACTGATCGTACAGAGTCACTTTGAGACTGGGAATCTAATTCCTCAGCTGCTCTTCATCTTTATCTGTGACATCTGTGGAGAAGTTTATCAGTTTTTCTGTGGAGGGAAACATATTTATTTCCCTTGTCTGGGTAGCACAAAAGTATATAATACAAGATGGTGTAGCAGCAATAGGCAGGCAATAGTATCTCACCCTCAGGGTTACTCATCACATGGGGGAAGATTCCACCTCACTGGCCTCTGCTCCAGCTCCCCTCTGCGTGCTGGGCTCTGTTCTGTTTCTTTTGGCAAAATAAGACCTCAGAATTGAGTTCAACAAGTTCATGATTATTTTCTCCAGCAAAGAGAGTCACAAAAAGCACCATTTCATAAGCAGGGAGAGTTTACAAATATGTGAAGTCAACGTTGTTAAATTCGATCCTCTGCAGTTACACGCTAAACACGCAAGCTGAGATGCCTGAAATGTCTCCCAATCAGACTAGTTATGTGAGAGCCAGTGAATCATTAATTTAATGTCTTCTGCAAAAATTCAGGGTGGTCTGTGAACTCTTAGGCTGATCATAGAATGGTTTGGGCTGGAAGGAACCTTAGAGATCATCTCATTCCACCCCCTGCCATGGGCAGGGATACCTTCCACTACTAGAGCAGGTTGCTCCAAATCCCATCCAGCCTGGCCTTGGACACTTCCAGGGATGGGGAATCATGAATGTGCCAGCATCTGTGTTGGCAAAGGGCATCTTAGTGTGGGGAGTAAAAGTATTGCACTAGAAAGGGTTAACAAACAAGGGTAACAGACCTTGCTGTCACAAGCTGCTAATATTAGAAATTATCCTCTCATTACCAGTGTGTTTCCAGCAACAGGCAGAACACCTGTCTTATTTACAGCTGCACAAAAAAGAACTGTGGAAAACTGGAAGTGGTTCTGGGAAAGAACCAGGACCCTGAGCAGCCTGCCCTAATGAGACTTCAGAAGCTCTCAATTGATTTGCTTTATCAGAGAGGATCTGAAGAAGTGATTTGATCAGTGCCTGCATGGGTCAGGATTTCAAATGCTCAGAGGACTCTTTAATCTAACAGGAGGTATAATAAGATTCAGTGCCTGCAATCGAAGCTAAGCAAAATCAAATTACAATTAGGAAATGTTTAGACAGTGAGGGTAATTAACCATTGCCACAACTTTTGGGGTCAGAATGGAATCACCACGTCTTGAGATGTTTTAATTTGGATTATTTTTTGGAACTGTACTCCCATCTTTGGTATGCAATGAAATATGATGGTGTGTGTTCCTGTCACAAATATAAGGACATATGACTAGAAATAAGATGTGCATATGAAGTATAATCCAGAAAACCCCAATGCACGATTCTATATGTTTAGTAGCTTCTGAGCATTAGAGTGAATTATTTCGTGCAACTTTCTCACAAAAAAAAAGTTGTTTTCTTGCTTTTCTTTTCTGACCAAAAACTCATGGAAGGCACACGTGCTTCAGAGGCACTGCCAAAAATTTAGTGAAAAGTCTTGGTCAGTTTGTCCTGCAAAGTCATCCTCTTCTGCTGGGGACTGGGGACATGTTTGTGAGAAGCTGACAGAGAAAAGGGACTGTGGAAAATTGCTTTGACTTGCCTTTAGTGCAACAATTAAAGTACAAGACTTTGCTGGTATCTATTGTTGTCTTTTCCAGTAATAATTGTGCCAAAAGGAATGAGATGTGGTTCGTAGCTGCAACCTGCAGGAAAAGCAAAACCCCTTTGCCAGCCCTCTAAAGACTCTCTTGGTTGACTGTCCTGGTGAGAGATCACTTGGCTGCTCCCTCCCCTCGTACCTGCACTGTGAATTGTGCACAGGATTGCTGTAAACAGCACATCTTGGAGAGGGTGCTGTGCCTTGCTGAGCAGCTCATTAACCACACTGAGCTCCACACTCAGGGGCTGATGAGGTGGAGGAGGAACAATGTGTTACTTGCATCAGGCTTTAGTAGCACAACGTGTAAACTCCAGGCTCATCTCTCACGTGGCAGTTTGTCTCCCTAAAAGCACCTCTACATTTTCCTTGGCCCAGATAAAATGCTGGTGGCAACAACAGACGGTCTGGAGCTGGTGCAGTTGTTGGGATTGGGTTTTCTTGCAGGTAGCACAGAGGATGTTCACAATGTGTTTGTCATGGAGGTCTGGAGGAGGTGATGATCTTGTTTCAGCTGTGTGTCCCAGGGCTGAGAGTAGGATGACCCAGATTGTGTGATACTTTTCTTTAAGCAGAAACACGTGGCTGGGTGAGGGGCACACAAAAGGTGTGATGCCATGGACCACACTTGACATTGTTCCCTGTGTGGGTGGGGAGGCCCTGGCACAGGTTTTTCAGAGAAGCTGTGGCTGCCCCATCCCTGGAAGTGTCCAAGGATGGGGCTTGGAGCAACCTGGGCTAGTGGAGGTATCCCTGCCCATGGCAGGGGGGATGGAACAAGACAATCTTTAAGGTCCCTTCCAACTCAAACCATTCTGTGACTCTGTGACAATGCTGCAAGAGTTGTTCCTACAATCAGTGGGGTTTGTACCAATTTTTATGTCACTGACCAAAGAGACCAGTTGTCACTATAGACTCAAAGGCCAGAGACAGACCTCTCTTTGCTTCTGAGCACCTTCTTCCTGTTCCAGACCCGTAACATGAGCACCTACTTTGAGAGAAATTATTCTGGAAGGGAGGGGGCACCGCTGTCCTAGCTCTCACGTCTCCCTGTGATACATCTCTTTGAGGAGAGAGCCAAGTACAGCAGAATTAAAGGAACTGATGAAGAGAGAAATCACTAATTGCCTGCAAAGGAGTTGGCTGATCTGAGCTGCATTTTACAGGTGGCCTGTGCTCTGCTGTGCCCTCCCTGTATTAGCTCCAGAACCACACATTAGTTTTAAGGCTCCCTCTCGAATAGGGATCTCATAATGTTTTTTAATTGGGGCTGATAAAATTGTGGCATTACTTGCAGGTTCCTGAGAGAAGCCAATTGTGAGATTGGGTCTGTATTAAACCTAATGATGGAAAATTAAGCATAGTACGTCTGTCGGAAATGGGCCGCGATAAAAATCTTCTCCTTCCCATTACGGGAGGTTAATAGGGAATAGGGGGGGGAAGATGCATTGGGAAAGCCAATCCAACTAGGGGAATTAATAGGCCTTGAAATTCCCTCTGCTCAGAGTTCTCACACTGTCATTAGTCAGAGCATTAGGGATGATTATACAAGTGCTTTGGATGTTACTCTTCCTTAAATCCCAAATTTATTCACATTTTGTATGTGAGGGTTGCTTCGCTTGAGCCATAGCCCTGTAAATCTCCAGGTGTCCTGGGAATGTGACTGTGTTGTTGAGAACCTGGGACCTAGAAATCCTTAAATTCAGGAGTCTCATCTTCAGAGCAGATGATCAGTGTGCTAATTTATTTCAGAAGAGCAGGATGTGATAATTCACCCACCAGATGATTTTATCTCACTGGTGATCAAGCAGCAGTGTCCACTGCTGGCATTCCTGTCTCCTCCTCACAGTCCTCCAGCTTCCAAACACAGCATATCCCTGTCTTCATATCTTCCCCCTAATCTAACAGTAAACCAGCTAAGGTGTTATTTGTCATGTTTTGTCGTGTCACTGGTTCACCAGCTGCCAAGGAGGCAGAGGGATCCCTCACCTCTCTGCTCCTGCCCACCTTCACAGGAGGGGCACGGGGAGCCCTGACTGCCTCTGATCCAACCCCACAGTGCTTTCTCAAGCTGAGCAATGTTTACAGTAGCATTCTGACCATATTTCTGCCTCACAAAGGCCACCCTGAAATTGCAATTTGATTTATTTATTCTTTATCCCTTCAAAGACACGGCTGCAGTGCTGCTGACGAGGGGGGTGTTTCAGCTCCTTGTCAGTGAACAAGCCCCGTGTGTGCCAGCTTAAGGGGGGTTTATCAACAATCTGAGGGAGGGAGGTTTTTTGTTTGCTAAAGCTTGGCTTTGGGTAAGATCAGAAAGAATTGTGTGTGTGGAAGGACCTGAGCATCTCAGATCCCTGTAATCCCAGGAAAAACCAATGGTATATTTGGCCAACTATTTAAATTTGGTCAACTCTGGTAGATAAGAAACTGAATTTTTCATTTAATCTGAGTTCCTGTTATTAAAAGTTGTTACAGTCAGTTGTTTGGTAATTGAAGTTATTATTTAAATTCTTTTCTATTAGTTCACCAGGAATATCTTGTTGGGTACACAGTTTTGCTGGAGATAGGAGGTTGCAGTTCCATCTGCATAGTGATAGATTTCTTTCAATCCATTTCTTCCAAAAAAACACCCTTTTCCTATTAAGTTTACACATCTGAAATTTAAATTTCTGCATGCAGGATAACTGCATTTTTACACTGCTTTATTATTCCTGATGATATTCCATCTTTGTAATTGACATATAAAATTTTAGGCCTGAACTAGCGGAGCAGTTTAATTTACCTCCGGTGTCCCATGTGGCTTATTTGAAATGCTAATAATTTGTTTGCTGTTCACTTGGGCCCCTTTCAGTTATCTCGTGCTGTACACCCCAAATGCTGCTTGAATCTCTTGCTCATCTGTGTGTATCTCTCGGCTGTGTTCTTTGCAGGTTTGTGAAGACAGGCATGTAATTTTGTTGGAGTTCTGGGGAGCTCACCCTTATGCTGTGTCCTCAGCAGCCTGGCTGGCTGTTCACTCTGTTCCCATCTCTTTGTGTTTGTGTCCTTGACACAAGGAATTACTCCAGTGTGATTTAGTTTCCAGGCAGCTGAAGGCTGTTTGTTTCTTACTTATTTATATACTTATATAGTGCGTGTTTCTTACTTACTTCTTTGCTTCCTTTCACCGGCCCCAACCTACGGGGTGGTGGAGAAACAGGTAAAACAGAGAATGAGCCTGGAAATAGCGGAGTGGTGAAAGCTTGCTTTGCCTCCCTGTCTTTCCAACAGACAGCAGCCATGGAGAGATGCCCCAGCCCACGCTGACCATCCAGACCCACCCGTACCGCAGCTGCGAGCCCGTGGAGATGTCCTACCCCCGGGGGCAGTTCCAGCCTGCCATCCGAGTGGCAGACCTTCTGCAGCACATCACCCAGATGAAGAGGGGACAGGGCTATGGCTTCAAAGAGGAGTATGAGGTAAGAGGAACCTTCACTCACTTGTAGTAGAGGAGTGTAAGGGTAGAAGACCCTTCCGAAAGATTTATCGTGCGAGCGGGGCTTATTTCGCTTAGGGAGACTTTCCTGCCTGGAAGAGGCATCTTTCCTAGAGACAGTTTTGGGTGTTTTCTCCTCCTGCATTCCAGAGAAACTTTCCCTGGTATGAGAAAAAGGTAAGTCCTTGCAGAGATGTTTGAAGGTCCCCACAGAGGGAGAAGAACAGGGGGTGTGTCTTTCCCCAGGCCCCGTGTTTGAAAAGCCACAAAGGTGAATGTTCTAGAAGTCGAGTGTTCTTGACCTTGGAAATAAATTTTCCCACAGTCCTTCCACTGCCTGGAATTTTGGGGGTACCTGTGCATTGTCTTTCCTCACAAGAAGTTGCACTCATGAGGGATAGAACCTTGGAGGGGAGGATAACTGTGTTTTAAGAGCTTCTTTTCCTTAATTCACCCTCTTAATCCTTTCCTTTCTTATTTTGGTTTATGAGGGCAGGATTTTACAGCACTGTCAGCCTTTGGTGGCCCTCAGGTACCAAGAGAAGGTGTTTATTATAGCAATAAGTCAGTGACATTTTGCTCATCCCATAGCATGTGCCCTCTCTCCCATAAAGAGCAGACAGTAAATATTTAACAGGTGCTGAACTCAATGCAGGACGTGGAGTCCCACAGTCCCTTCCTTACTGATCTGCTTTCCTTGGATAGTGTAAACCAAGCTGTAAGAAAAGGAAGGGGTTTTGCTTGAGCTTTTGAGGGAGCTCCAAATACTCCCTCGCCATTGATCAAATTTAATCACAGTGCCATGACCTGAATGCAGAGTTGTAAAGTCAAAGGCAGGAATTTGTGAGGCTTAAATGAAGGTGGAATTTTCCAGTACGCTCAAACCTCTGGCACTTCCAAATTTGTGTGAGGAGAGGAGTAAAAGGTAAGCTGGAAAAATGAAAACAGCCCTCTTCCCCTCCACATCTTAACCCCAAAGCTGGAATGACCAGGAATATAATCCAAATGACCAGGAAAACACAACACTGGGGAGGAGCTGGAAAAGGAATATACATTTCAAGCAGAGCAAACAGAGGAGGGAAATAGCATCAAACATATGTGAGGCTCAGCTCTAGCAAGGGATAATTATAATGAATGTAGTAAGCTTGTGGGAAGGCAATAAGCAATTAATATGCACAGTGGCATTAAAGCTACTTAAAAATAACGTAACAGCTGTGAAAAAGAAGTTACTTAATGAAAACAGCTCACTTTTGCACCCTGCAAGTGAGAGTCCATGGGGTTTGTACCCTCAGTGCTGGGCTTTGCTCTAATTGAGAGGGAGTCTTTTCCTGGTTGTCACCAGGAGCATTTTTTTTTTTAATCAGATGGAATCAAAGACTGTTTCATAGCAAATGTTTCTGGAAACTGTATGTTAACCAGGTCTAGTCACTCTTGCCCCATAATCAAGCATGCTAATTAAACTATCAATATAAAGAGCTGTGTTTAATATTGAGAAAGGGTAATAATTCCCTTAGGAGATTTGCTGAGCCCCCCCTCGGCCTCCATTTCCATGAGCAGTACCCAAACCTGCATCCAGCCCAATTACAGATGCCCTGAGATCTAGTTCTTGATGCTCAAGAAGAAAACAGGTGCTGGCATATATGTAATTTTCTGGCACTGGCACGGGTAATTATCAAAATAGCACATTACCATGAAAAATGTCAGTGCAACTTTCAGCTCCACAAGTTGTGCCTTTCCCAGAAAGTGCCATCTACAGACGAGTGTAATGACGGTGACATTCCATGGATTTGCATAATTCCTTTCTTCAGGAGGAGTAGCCTGGAGGCTGCCACGAGCTCACAGATCCCCTGGGCTGTCCCACCCTTCAATCGGCGCTAATTGCCCGCGGTAACGGGCGTTTTTCCAGGCTGGAATTCGGGCTTTGGAGCGCGATGCGGGCAGCACTTCGGCCCCAAACAGCAGCGCCACAAAAGCAGGGAGGATGTCAGGAATCTCCGGGAAGGTGGGAGGTTGGAGCCTGGCTGAGAGTGGGGATCTGCAGGAGCACAGAGCTGCAAAACCGGCTCTGCAAAACGCTTTGCAGAACAGTCGATAAAGTCTTAAAAAAGAATTTGATGTCTCTTTTTAAAACGTGTTTTCAGACACTAATATCAGTGTCGCCTCCAAATATGTTCTTTTTTTTTTCTTCCAAGGAGCTGATTTTCTACTTACTTTGCAAATTGATAGCATAAATTGCAGCCTGTTTAGTGACATGTTACCAAATAATTTTACTCTCATGAAAAATCGCTTTGAAGGGAGCATATCAGTCACACATGACAATCTCTTATCTCTGTATATTCTCATCTCTGCTCGGTAACCTGGAAATTGCATTCCATGTTTGTTTAAAGGCTGCCTGCACCTCCATGTTGGGGCACAGGCAGCGGGTTTTACTGAGGGCATCCAGAAAAAAACCATTTCTGGTGGCTCCAGGCTGAGCTGAGAAGCAGGATGTGATTGTGTAAGAGGTGTCAGTGCTGGTGTGAAGTGGATGATAACTGAGTGTGAACGTGGGAATCCGTCAGCACTCCCTATGGGGGGGTTATTTTGGGCCTTCCTGTGCACCTGAGGGCAAGGTGTGACTTGGACCCTTTTTGGCTGCTGCTTCTGTTCAGCAACGAAACAAGCAGAACAGAAGGGAAAAAAAGTCTTATCTGTGGCTCTGGGTGTAGATGGCACTATTTGGGATTAGGAATAGCCATAAACATTTAAACAGGACTCATTTAAATGTCTCCAGTTTCTTTTCCAGAACATATCAGCCCTGATTTGTTGTGAGCTGTGGGACTAGTCCCGTAGACTTACTGCAAGCACCAATTACTGACTGAGGAGATAATAAGCTTAATTACCCAAACTCATTTTCCATTATGATTTAGGATGTCACTAAAGCACATTCTCCTGCTGCATTACTGAGATGGTTTAGCTATTTTGGATTTTGTGGCTCCTTCCTCAAGCATCATAGTATTGAAATTCTTCAGCTTATGGAAGTCACCTCTGGGTTTTAACCCTTTAATTTCTGCCTACACATCTTCCTGTGGTCAAAAAAACAGATCCAGTGGTCCAGGTTATGACATAGCACTGCAAAATGAATGGCTGAAATACTTCTTTTCAGGTTATTTTTTTTTTTAACCAAAACATTTTTTAATTCTGGCTCTCAGCAGAGTTGTGGGAACAGTTTTTCCACCACTGTTGAGGAGAGAGTGACTGCAGGGAGAGGGCCAGGGCTCCATGGCACAATTTGGGATGAACAGGGAGGCTTTTAACTGATGTTGTTGCCTTTGGCAGCAATACTGCAGCACTGAGGTAGATCAGTGCAGATGAAGGATTCAAATTTTCATATTTAAATTAAAAACAAACAGCAGACTAACTAAATGCATCCATTGGAAATTTAAATTGGCTTGCAGTAAGCCTCAGTTTAATGGAAACACTTCAGTCATGTTTGGGCCGTGGTGCTTAGGAAGCTTGATTGAGATGAATCTGACTTTGAGAGATCTATCCTTGTAATTTCAGCTAAAATTTAGATCAATTTATAGTTTAAAAAGCTTCACTGTAACCTAAATTCCACTGGTGGGAAGATATTTCAGTATAAATTTCACAAAACTTCTCTAAAAGGAGTTTAGAAAGTTTTAGAAGTAGAAAAAGGCCAAAAATCAAGTATAGTTTTTTGAACACTGAAATTCTGCTGTTACCAAGTCAAAGGAAGAAGGGGGAGCATTTCCTGTGAAATATGAATTAACTACCAGTGCCTGAGTGATCTGTCCTGATTTAACATTGCTGATAATGCAGGTCCCCCCGGGCAGATGGAGCTCGTCAGCCCTGTGAGGCAATCCATCTAAGAGAAGGTCACT